TTGAACCTGGGAGGCGGAGGTTGCAGTGAGCCGAGGTCACGCCACTGCACTCTAGCCTGGGCGACAGAGTGAGACTCCATCTCAAAAAATATATATATATAAAAATATATATATATAAAATATATGCATAATATATAAATGATATCAAATATGTATTATATTACATTGTATAATAGAAACATTAAACATTATATTAAAAGGATATAATTTATATAAATATGATTATATGTACTGTAATATACATTAAATCAGGGGTGTGGTTATCCTGGCCAATAGCCACTTGGTAAAAGAATGGCTAACACTAACTTTCTTCCCAGACTAGTTCAACAGTGACCCCTTCTGGCCGTTTGGTTAATATGTCAGCCTGGGTTTGCCAAAGGCGGGATGGAATGGTGGCCAGTTGAGACGTTGGTAGGCTGGGGAAGCACTGGAGAGAGCAAGAGGAGCATCTGGGATTGGTCTGAGAAAAGGTTCAGTGATCTACTTGGCCTAACCTAGGATGATTAGCTGTGCTGCAAGCAGCCACTTGATCAACAGCCTTCGGTGCTATTGCCGCCATCCAGGCAATGAGAAAATTTCCCTGCACTATGCTGTCTAGTAGCAAAGAAACAACAAAATAGTCTTAATTTGCATATTCTATCCCTTGTGTTTCAGGATCAAATAGTGTGAGATTGTAGCCCCTCTGGACTTATTTAGGAAAAATGGAGGTATGTTAGTTACTTCATGGACATGACTTCTGAGATACTTCAAAAAAAGATTTTTTTTTTTTTTTTTTGAGACAGAGTCTCCCTCTGTCTCCCAGGCTGGAGTGCAGTGGCGCAATCTCAGCTCACTGGAACCTCCGCCTCCCGGGTTCAAGAGATTCTCCTGCCTCAGCCTCCCGAGTAGCTGGGATTACAGGCGCCCACCACCATGCCCAGCTAATTTTTGTATTTTTAGTAGACACAGGGTTTCACCATATTAGCCAGGCTGGCCTCAACTGCTGACCTCAGGTGATCTGCCTGCCTCGGCCTCCCAAAGTGCTGGGATTACAGGCGTGAGCCACCATGCTCGGCCCAAAAATCTTTTTAATGTATTATTTTTTAATAGGCATAGAACCAATGCAGTGACTTCTGGGATATAGAAGGGGGATTATATGCTCAGATTTTGTTTTATTTTGCTTTGTCTTATTAAAAATTATCTTTTTAAAAATAATTTTTTTCTTCTTTTTTTTAGTTGACACATGGTGGCAGTAAAAATTAATTTTAATAGAGATAGGGTTTCACTGTGTTGCCCAGGCTGGTCTCAAACTCCTGGGCTCAAGCAGTCCTCCTGCCCTGGTCTCCCAAGGTGCTGGAATTACAGGTGTGAGCTCCTGTACCCAGCCTGCTTTCTCTCATAGATGAGAAAACTGAGGCATAAGGAAGTTAAGGTTACAGAGGAAGAAAGCTGATTGGAAAGCTTGAGCTATGACCTTTCTGACTCTTAAATCCGTTAAATTAATTCTTAGTTTTCCATTGGATTGGTATATTTAATGTAAAATTTTTATTTCCTGTATTATAACATCAATACAACCAGCCTGGGCTGGGCGCGGTAGCTCACGCCTGTAATCCCAGCACTTTGGGAGGTCAAGGCAGGCGGATCACTTGAGGTCAGGAGATTGAGACCAGCCTGGCTAACATGGGATACGAATATAAAAATACAAAAATTATCCCGGCATGGTGGCTTTCGCCTGTAATCCCAGTGACTTGGAAGGCTGAGGCAGGAGAATCACTTGAACCTGGGAGGCAGAGGTTGCATGAGCCTAGATCATGTCACCACCCTCCAGCTTGGGTAACAGAGCAAGACTCCGTCTCAAATAAATAAGTAAATAAATAAATACATAAAATACAGCTAGCTTGGGCAACATGTGAAACCCCATCTCTACAAAAAATATAAAAATTAGCCGGGCATGGTGGTGTGTACCTGTAGTCCCAGCTACTTAGGAGGCTGCAGTGGGAGGATCATTTGAGCCTGGGAGGTGGAGGTTTCAGTGAGCTGAGACCATGCCACTGCACTCCAGCCTAGGTGACAGAGCCAGACCCTGTTTCAAAAAATCACATCAAATGAAATCAATATATTCCCACAGTTTAATATCCATAAAGTACAAAAAGGGCATAAAGTAAAATGTCTTCCTCTCAAGACCTGTCTCACAGCCACCTGGTGTCTCTATAACAGGCCACCAATATTACCCATTTCTGTGAATAGCTAAGTAAATTGTTTATATATCCTCCCACCTTTTAGTGGGTGTATTATGCTATATTCAATCTTCCATTGAAATGTAGGTCATTTCCTATAAACTGTACTGCAGTGAATAACGTCTGTATTTACTGTGAGAGAATTCCCAGAATTAGAATGGCTGGGCCAAAGCTATAAGCATTTGTCGTTTGTCTTTTGATAGATACGACCTAATTGCCCCTCTTGGAAGTTGCGGATACTCCTTTCAGCAGTGTATTATTTCTTGGTTTAAAATCTACTTGTTTATCAATAAAGTTTTTTGAAAACAAAACTTCATAAACCTCCTGAGAACCAATTCTCTTCTCCTTGTTTCATTGCCCTGAAGAGAGGAAGGAGATGTATCTGACCCTCAGCCTCAGTGTATCTGACCCTAAGCCTCAGTGTACCTGATCCTCAGCCTTAGTGTACCTGACCCTGAGCCTCAGTGTACCTGACCCTGAGCCTCAGTGCACCTGACCCTCAGCCTCAGTGTACCTGACCCTCAGCCTCAGTGTACCTGACCCTCAGCCTCAGTGTATCTGATTCTCAGCCTCAGCACAGTGTATCTGATGACACTTTGACCTGTCTTTCCCAAATGATGTAAATGCTTCTACTGTTATTTTCTGCTGCAGTAAAATAGCTCTTCCTTTATTCACATAAAGGGATAAGTTACATGGACTCCTTATATTTATTATTTAAAGCATGACGAACCATTATGCTGATCTCGTTTTTAATGTTTATTTGGCTTTGGAATTAGCCTTGTTCCCCAGGAAATCATTTCCTGGCTTCTAAGTTGACAGCTCTCTTATTAGTTGTGCCTGACAAGTTTGGTACAACCAGGCTACCAGAGGCAGTTAGTGCAGATGATGATGTTAAAAATCTCTTTATAGGCTGAGTATGGTGGCTCACACCTGTAATCCCAGCATTTTGGGAGGCCAAGGTGGGATTGCTTGAGTCCGGAAGTTCGAGACCAGCCTGGGCAACATGGTCTCTACAAAAAATAATTTAAAAAAAAAATTAGCTGGCATGGTGGTGTGCATCTGTGGTCCCATCTACTTCGGAGGCTGAGATGGGAGGATCACTTGAGCCCAGGAGGTCAAGGCTGCAGTGAGCTCTGATCGTACCACTGCACTCCAGCCTGGATAACAGAGTGAGACCCTGTCTCAAAAAAAAAAAACGAAAAGGTGTTTATAGTCAAGTTATTTTTCATAACCCAACCTACCCCCAAATTAGGGTGAATACCTAGAGAACATCTAAAGAAAGGAGTATGCAATGGGGCCGGGCGCGGTGGTTCACGCCTGTAATCCCAGCACTTTGGGAGGCCGAGGTGGGTGGATCACGAGGTCAGGAGATCGAGACCATCCTGGCTAACACTGTGAAACCCCATCTCTACTAAAAAAACAAAAAACAAAAAATTAGCTGGTTATGGTGGTGGGTGCCTGTAGTCTCAGCTACTCGGGAGACTGAGGTAGAATGGCATGAACCTGGAAGGCAGAGTGTGCAGTGAGCCAAGATCGCGCCACTGTACTCCAACCTGGGAGACAGCGAGACTCCACCTCAAAAAAAAAAAAAAAACGGAGTATGCAGTCATGGAACTGTCACCCAGGGCCATTTCCATTTGCCAAGTACAAGATATCGAATCAATGTATTTTTGTGGCTGGGCACAGTGGCTCACACCTGTAATCCCAGCACTTTGGGAGGCTGAGGCTGGCAGATCATTTGAGACCAGGAGTTCGAGACCAGCCTGGCCAACAAGGAAAAACCCCATCTCTGCTAAAAACACAAAAATAGCCAGACATGATGACATGCACCTGTAGTCCTAGCTACTTGGGAGGCTGAGGCAGGAGAACCACTTGAATCCAGGAGGTGGAAGGTGCAGTGAGCCGAGATCATGCCACTGTACTCCAGCCTGGGCAACAGAGTAAGACTTGGTCTCAAAAAAAAAAAAAGTATTTTTGTGATCTATTCTTTCATTTGGATTTAGGTGAGCGACCTGTGAGAGTTTATGCCGATGGAATATTTGACTTATTTCACTCTGGTCATGCCCGAGCTCTGATGCAAGCAAAGAACCTTTTCCCTAATACGTACCTCATTGTGGGAGGTAAGAAAACATTTGATGACTTCAGGTGCAGTGCAGAAAAAGATGATAGTAGAGTCTGTATTTCTCTTCTGTCTTTATAACCTGAGTACACCGGCTCTTATTTCCGTTTTTAAGTGAAGGATGTAGTACAGCCTCTCTAAAACATGAAATATATGAGGTACCAGCAACCTAAACCTGGAGAGAGGAGCTTCAAGCTCATTGACTGTGACGTCTGACATTTATCTCACTGTTTTTAGCCGAGTTTCTGCCAGTCACAGGAGCAACAATGACTTCTGTTGCCCAGTTAAAAAACATTTGCTTTAGATTTCACTTTATTATTTTGAATCAACTGGAATACAAAAGTCTGCCAAGGAAATGTCATGTGGTCCAGTCCAGTGTGAATAAAATAGGAAAACATGTTTAAGGACTTAATCGATACAGACATGCACAGCAGGTTGATTTCAGAGTCGAAGATCTTGGTCACCTGTTGTACCGTCTCTTCTCCAAAGTATGAACATACTATTTAGTGAGTGTTGCTCCTGAAGGTATACGCTGCATTAGGAAAAGCGTTGTTACCCAGGTTCAACTGCCTTTAGAAGACTTTTCTCCAGTTGGGGAAGATGGTTGCAGTCCTAAGCAGTGGGAGAAGATGGGAGAGGTCAGTGGCTGAGGAGTGGCTAAGCAAAGAGGACTCCGACCCACAGTTTATGATGTGGTGAACTCAGTTTGCAGCGATGAGCTCACACACAACTTCAAAGGCTTCACGGTGATGAATGAGAACGAGCGCTATGACGCAGTCCAGCACTGCCGTTATGTGGATGAGGTGGTGAGGAATGCGCCCTGGACCCTGACACCTGAGTTCCTGGCCGAACACCGGGTAAGAAACTGGACACATATTCCCCTTCCTTGTTCCAGAATCCCCTCAACTCTCACGACTGCTGGCACGCAGGCTGGTTTTCCACTAGCTCTGTTTGACTTCTACCTCATATGTAAGTTTCATAGGAGATGACAGTGATATTACTAGTGATAATAGTCATCCCTGACGTTTATATGGGGTTGGATGGTTTGCAAGCACTTTTACATCCATTCTATTCCATTTTCTCCCCACAACAATCCTGTGGTGTGGTTATCATTTCCACTTTACATGTGAGTAACAAGTCCTAGAGAAACCAAATAACCTGCTCCAAGTTACACCATTGGCAGAGCTGGGAATTGAACTTGTCAGTTACGAGACTTTTCCCCCCACACCACAGGCATGTCTACCCTTAGAACGTGCCAGTCTCCTGAGAAGATCCATAGCCCCAGGCGAACTCTGAAGACGGTCACATTACCAGGAAACAAGACGGATTAACATAGACTTTTATTGGCTTAAGTTTCATTTCAGGGCTTTGGTCTTAGGCTAGAAATTGGGTGGAATCAGAAACCAGGGATATTTCTCACTGTTTCTCAGTAAGTTATTATCAACCCCTTACCTCCTTTTAATTCTCCCACATTAAAGTAACAGATTTCAGCCAGGTGCAGTGGCTCATGCCTGTAATCCCAGCACTTTGGGAGACCAAGGTGGGAGGATCGCTTGAGCCCAGGAGTTCGAGACCAGCCTGGGCAACATAACGAGACCCTGTCTCTACTTTTTAAAAAAAGCCACAGGTTTCCTGCAAAAGGTGGGTATAAAAGATGAGAAGGATTGATTAGGCCAGGTTAGAGGTCCCCACGCCTGAGGAAACAGCAAGCATGTTGTCAGTTCTCTACAGGGGCGTGTGGAATGTTGTAGGTAAATTGTTGAGTGAGGCAGAAAGAATAAAGGCAGCCAAAGGGCTTCTAAAGCAATACATGGGTAGGCCTGAAGAGGGGATATTTACTGTAACTATTGAGGATTGGGACAGATCTTCTATAATTCTCTGACTTTTCTACATCAACACTTAGCAGCCAGTGGCTCCAAAAGTGGTAAGCAAGCTTATTCTCAGCATCACAGCCTGCAGGCCCACACAGAAGTATGAGGTTAGAGGAATTTCTTTTTTTTTGTTTTGTTTTTTTTTTTTTTTGAGACGGAGTCTCGCTCTGTCGCCCAGGCTGGAATGCCGTGGCGCAATCTCAGCTCACTGCAAGCTCCACCTCCCGGGTTCACGCCTTTCTCCTGCCTCAGCCTCCCGAGTAGCTGGGACTACAGGCAACCACCACCTCGCCCGGCTAGTTTTTTGTATTTTTCAGTAGAGACGGGGTTTCACTGTGGTCTTGATCTCCTGACCTTGTGATCCACCCATCTCAGCTTCCCAGAGTGCTGGGATTACAGGCGTGAGCCACCGCACCCAGCTGGTTAGAGGAATTTCTAACTCTGCTTTTCTCTTTGTTAACAGTATATACTCAACTCTAAGTTTTGCTTGTCCCATTCTTTTTTTTTTTTTTTTTTTTTTTTGAGATGGAGTCTGGCTCTGTCGCCCAGGTTGGAGTGCAGTGGCGTTATCTCAGCTCACTGCAACCTCCACCTCCCAGTTTCAGGCGATTCTCTTGCTTCAGCCTCCTGAGTAGCTGGAATTACAGGCGCCACCACCACGCCTGGCTAATTTTTTTGTATTTTTAGTAGAGACGGGGTTTCACCATGTTAACCAGGATGGTCTCAATCTCCTGACTTCGTGATCCGCCTGCCTCAGCCCCGCAAAGTGCAGGAATTACAGGCGTGAGCGACCGTGCCTGGCCTTCAGCCTCCTGTTCTTTACTCTGCTGCCTATGGATCCCTGACAAGTTGTTCATGAGTAATTGAGATGCTAGCTGAGGGTCTCTGACATAGTCCCAGTGAACATGCTTCACACTACAGTGGTCTCTGGAGGTTGGTAGAGTGATCTTAGTAATTATCAGCAAAAGGCTGGTGGCCCATTCAGGAAGGAGTAAGTGAAGTTTAGCATGTCTCTGAACAACGTTATTGATCCCCAGTGTCATTCGTCTCTTCTTGCTCTTGCAAAGGATATTCATAGTAGTAAAATGGCCGGGCGCGGTGGCTCACGCCTGTAATCCCAGCACTTTGGGAGGCCGAGTCAGGTAGATCACTTGAGGTCAGCAGTTTGTGACCAGCCTGGCCAACATGGTGAAACCCCGTCTGTACTAAAAATACAAAGATTATCCAGGCGTGGTGACATGCACCTGTAGTCCCAGCTACTCGGGAGGCTGAGGCAGAATTGCTTGAATCCAGGAGGCAGAGGCTGCAGTGAGCCGAGATCATGCCGTTGCACTCCAGCCTGGGTGACAGAGTGATACTTGGTCTCAAAAAAAAAAAAAAAGGTAGTAAAATGATAGATCCTGAGGATAAAATGTCTTTTATGGCTTTGGGTTTGTATTTCTCAGGAGTATAGATGTATCTATTCCAGTCATAGGGCTGGTGGTTGCTATTTTTATATTCCCTCTTTTCTCACGGACTGAGAGAAACCAGTTAGGAAAGAAGTAACCTCTTTCTCATACTTTTTTTTTTTTTTTTGGAGACAGTCTTGCTCTGTCACCCAGGCTGGAGTGCAGTGGTGCGGTCTCAGCTCACTGTAGCCTCTACTTTCCGGGTTCAAGCAATTCTGCCTCAGCCTCCCAAGTAGCTGGGATTACAGTCGCCGGTCCCCATGCCTGGCTTATTTTTTTGTATTTTTAGTAGAGACGGGGTTTCACTCTGTTAGCCAGGATGGTCTTAAACTCCTGACCTCGTGATCTGCCTGCCTTGGCCTCCCAAAGTGCTGGGATTACAGGTGTGAGCCACCGCGCCCGGCCTTTCTCATACTTTTAGAAACCCTTATTTGACCAAATCCTTCCAGACCCAGGACAGGGAGATTTCCTTCTTTCCTAGGCTCCACCCACTAACTGGTTCACCAGCAAACCCTCTGGCCCTGTTGACCACAGCAAGATGACTGGTGTCCAGAGTGAGGGTAACAGTTCTAGTAGACTAGGAGAAACAGCGAGAAAAGCAGCTGGCTAACTTTCTATTTATGCTCCATAAATCATTAGGTTGGGTGGTTTGTGAATAGATTGTAGCCTGACCTCTGCTTATTGTCCTTTCTCTGGGCCTGAGAACATTGACTGGGTCTTTCTGAATGGCAGTTATCGTGGGTTTTAATGATGTTTCCTTATTTTCAGATTGATTTTGTAGCCCATGATGATATCCCTTATTCATCTGCTGGAAGTGATGATGTTTATAAGCACATCAAGGAGGCAGGTGAGTGACCTGATGTGCTTCCTCACTTTAGGGGATCTCTGGGCAGCTGTAGATGTTCAGCCGTGTTGCTACTTTACAGAGGAAAATGTGTACATTAGAAATTCAACATCCTCTTTCAGGCCACATTTTGGATAAAAGGTAAAGATGAGCATAGCATTCATCAGTTCTTCATCATCAGTTCATGACATCCATCAATTCTTGGTATAAACATCTACTTTTGATATCTCTCTTAATTTCAGGAAACCCTTTCTCATATTTTTCGTAATATTAGGGCTATGTAACTCTTCTTTGCCTTACCTCTGGACTTTCATTCAGTCTTCCTTCTGTATATCAGTATCTCTCCGTTTCATTTAGTAATAACAGATTCTGCTTTTTGAGGAAAGGAAAGGAACGTTGCCCCCAGTTTCCATTTAGTCTTAATACCTGAGCTAACCAGAACCTCACAGTGTTTGTCTGTATGTGTTTCTGAGTCAGGCATGTTTGCTCCAACACAGAGGACAGAAGGTATCTCCACGTCAGACATCATCACCCGAATTGTGCGGGACTATGATGTGTATGCGAGGCGGAACCTGCAGAGGGGCTACACGGCAAAGGAGCTCAATGTCAGCTTCATCAACGTGAGTTCCAACCGCACCCCAGACTTCCCTGACTCTGTGGGATACGTATTGCCTCTCACTCCATCTTAGCTGAACTGGCTTTGCAGTTAGCTCTAATGATCACTCCCAAAAGTTCAGTGAATGAATTACCACTATGTTAACTGTTTACAAAAAGAATGAAACAGTTTCTGCCGTTACGGTCTAGTACCAACACATTGGTATAAAGCCATACAGCCAACAAAATAAATAAGAGAGTAATTTAGATAGTACAGTATTTCTGTTAATAAATTGAAAACTGTGTCTCTTAAACTTCCTTTTTCTTTTTTGGTTGGATGATCTTTTGGAAATCTCCTTAAGCCTATGAACCCTCTCCCCGTGTGGACAGTGACACACGACACACCACTTCCCCGCATAGACCTGAGTTTTAAATTTTGATTGATGAAAGCTTAAGTTTATCTTAGCTTACTATTGCCTTTTAGAAACTCTGTATATTTTACTGGGCTTGGTGGTTCATGCCTGTAATCCCAGTACTTTGGGAGGCTGAGGCGGGAGGACTGCTTGAGGCCAGGTGTTTGAGACCAATCTGGAGGCAGCATAGCGAGACCCCATCTCTAAACAAACAGACAAACAAAAAAACTCATATATATATGTATGTAGTATAGATATATTCATTCTTTTTGTAAACAGTTATATATATACTGCAGTATATATATATATACACACACACACACAACATATATATATGTAGTATTTCTTTCTTTTTGAGACAGGGTCTTGCTCTGTTGCCCAGGCTGGAGTGCAGTGGCATGATCTCGGCTCACTGTGGCCTCTGTCTCCTGGGTTCAAGTGATTCTGGTGCCTTAGCCTCCTGAATAGCAGTGATTACAGGCTTGTGCCACCACGCCTGGCTAATTTTTGTATTTTTTTTTAGCAGAGATGGGGTTTCGCCATGTTTCCCAGGCTGGTCTTGAACTCCTGGCCTCAAGCGATCAGCCCCCCTTGGCCTCCCAAAGCGCTGGGATTACAGGCATGAGCTACCGTATCTATCTGACACTATACATTTTGTACGTAAATTAGACCTCAATAAAATTAATTTAAAAAGAAGAAAGCTGCTAACTTTAATGTCTCCTACATAATCAGTTTACCATGCTCCCCCACCTGCTCCCATCTCTGTGAATTGTGCTATAAGAATGGATAAAATGATTACATCTAAATATGATTTATCTAGGCAGACAAACACTAGCTCTTGTTAATTTATTTACTATAGCTTTATTTTTTCCCATAAAAATCAGGTGTTTAAAAATTCTAAACATATTCGCTTTCCTCTTTATGATCTGGAAATTATGAGAGCACTTTTCTTTTTCTTTTTTTGAGATAGAGTAACACTCAGTCACCCAGGCCAGAGTACAGTGGCACAATCTTGGCTTACTGCAGCCTTGACCTCCGGGCTCAAGTGATCCTTCCATCTCAGCCTCCTGAGTAGCTGGGACTATGGGCACAGGCCACCATACCCAGCTAATTTTTTATATTTTTATTTTTAGTAGAGATGAGGTCTTGCTATGTTGTCTAGGCTGCTTTCGAGTTCCTGGCCTCAAGCAGTCCTCCCACCTCAGCTTCCCAAAGTGCTGGTATTACAGGCATGAGCCACTGTGCCTGGCCAAGGATACTTTTCATTTGACTAAAGACTCCCCTCCCCTCCGCCACAGGGTTTATACCGTTTTCCTTTTCTTTAGCAAAGTCGGTAGGGCCAACGAGTGTCAGCATTTCGCAGATGAGTAAACGGACCTTAAAACACGAAAGCAGCAAAAGCGAAAACACAGCTCATTAAAATAATGGAGTCAGCCAGCGACGGGAGACGCAGTTCGATGAGCGGATGAAGCGGAAGATCAGTGTTTTCTCCCTCGACCCATCGTGATGCGTTATTCTCGGCAGTGTTGTGCAGGGATCTTTAGCTGCCTCTGTATCTCCCTCGATCCATCGTGATGCATTATCCTCGGCAGTGCTGTGCAGGGATCTTTAGCTGCTTCTGTATCTCCCTAGATCCACCGTGATGCGTTATTCTCGGCAGTGTTGTGCAGGGATCTTTAGCTGCCTCTGTATCTCCCTCGATCCATCGTGATGCGTTATCCTCGGCAGTGCTGTGCAGGGATCTTTAGCTGCTTCTGTATCTCCCTAGATCCACCGTGATTCGTTATTCTCGGCAGTGTTGTGCAGGGATCTTTAGCTGCCTCTGTATCTCCCTCTGGAATGAGGTTTGGGTCATGCTGGGCATGTTTATGTTCCAAGTTTATGTTTTATCTTTAAAACTCTGACTTTATTTGGCTACCTGCCTGTGACTGGGTATAGCCTATATTTTTAGTTTATTCCCAAATGCCCACAATATTAGCATTACTATTTTGTGTGTGCATCCACAGCATATCTTATCTGTTATTATGCCAATGACGTGTAGGGTAGATTAAAGCAAAGCAGAATTCTAGACTGAAAACAGTGTCAGTTGAGTGCTTGAGCCATGTTTTTTTGTTCTCTTACGGTAGAGAAGTTGGGCATGAGCATTATTTCTCAAAATAGTTGTTTCTTTATCTAGGAGAAGAAATACCACTTGCAGGAGAGGGTTGACAAAGTAAAGAAGAAAGTGAAAGACGTGGAGGAAAAGTCCAAAGAATTTGTTCAGAAGGTGGAGGAAAAAAGCATTGACCTCATTCAGAAGTGGGAGGAGAAGTCCCGAGAATTCATTGGAAGTTTTCTGGAAATGTTTGGTCCGGAAGGAGCGCTGGTATGTTCTTCCCCACTGGACAGTGTAGGGAGCTCCCATGTTGTGGAAAGAATTACAGAATCATCGAGCAGAAAGGGACGTCGACAATTAAGGAGTGATCTAGTCTAGTCCCCTTATCTGGGCAGAACTATCTTTCAACTGTCCCCAGCAAGGTTTTTGAAATCTTTACAGAAAGAGGTTACACATTCTCCTAGATAATTTTGCCAGCTCTCTATCAGCCTTGAAATCTGGTGACAAGATAAGCAAAACGCCTTGCCCAGCTTTTATTTGTGGTATGATTTTAGATAGAAGGAAAGGAAAGAATAAAGAATAATAAAAAGAAAGCAGCCTCCACCCCAAGTAGCTGCAGCATGAACCCCAGGTAAGGTGGGAATTCTGTCTTTGAGGAGTAGCAGTCTTTTCAGCCAAATGAAAGATTGAGCAAGTGAGTCCCAGGTTAGATATCAGGAAGGATCTGTCTGTGAAGGTGTTTGGATGGATTAGAATAATCCTAGAACAGATTATTCGGGAAGAATGGGGAATTTCCCGGGTAATGATAGCAGGTGAGAACCGTTAAATCAGCAGTACAGCATAGACTGCCCTAGTCCCAGATGCTTCAGTGACGATTCAGTGGGATCCGCGGTATTGTCTCTGACTCTTCCTTTCGGTTTCTCCAGAAACACATGCTGAAAGAGGGGAAGGGCCGGATGCTGCAGGCCATCAGTCCAAAGCAGAGCCCCAGCAGCAGCCCCACTCGTGAGCGCTCCCCCTCCCCCTCTTTTCGATGGCCCTTCTCTGGCAAGACTTCCCCACCTTGTTCCCCAGCAAATCTCCCCAGGCACAAGGCTGCAGCCTATGATATCAGTGAGGATGAAGAAGACTAGTTTTCCTCCCTCCTTTCCTCTCCTCTCCCTCTGTCCCATTACCTTCAAAGCTCTCTGTTGAATTCCAGACTGTGACCCCAACACTAAACCTAAGGACAGCTACAAAGGAAAGACAACTGGGGCAAGAGGACCCTGGACTGGGGGAACCAGAACAGCCTGTCCTCCAGGTGACTCACTCGCCCACACGAAGGAGGGGCTGCACCTTAGAAGCCTGCTCTGCACCCGTTTACCCTCCCCGAGGGCTTTGTGTCACTGTTTGTGTTCACGTGATCTCAACAGGGAAATCGTCATTTTTATTACGTTTTTTTAAAATTAGTCTTTCAAATGTAGAACTAATGTTTTGCCCGAGGAGTGGGCAGAAGAAGGAGGTAGTGTAATACGCAGAGGCCTTTTCTTCCCAGTACACTATAGCATTTGCCTTCCGTTCTGAAGCGAAGTGGCTTGCCAAGTCCTTCACGAAATGAGCCATGCTGATGGGTAATCTGTGGAGAAATGTCTTAATTTTGATTTCCTTAAGGAAAAGCTAACAGCCAAGTTACAGTCACAAATCCCCTCAACGTACTGCTGTCACCAGTGTCATTGTGGCTGTAGGAAGGAGATCTGAGCCTAACTTGTCTCACTCCCTGAGGAGTTTCTTACTGGACCCAATGGGGGCCATGAAGACACTGACGGGGACGGAAGCATGGCATCAGCTGCAGTGTTTCTGCTGTGTTCATCTTCTCAGAAATTCTGTGTCTGCTGCGTCCATCTTCTCAGAAATTCTGTGACCCGGTTCTCTGGGAGCCTTTGTGAGTCTCTTTCCTGCCATCTACCGTCAAAGGAAGGAACGCTTTTCGGGTTACGAGGATGAGGAGAGGAGCGGGACAATACTCAATCCCATGCCAAGTCAATTGAGATTCGTTTCCTACTGGGAGGAGTGCCTGGCCCTGCTACTCCTATTTGAATGTTATTAATGTTACCTAGCCTTTTACAAAGGATACTTTGTAAATGTCTGCCGTTGGAACTTGATGTCAATCCCTTTTGGTCATAGCCATATTGAATAGAGAGATTTGCACAGAATGTAGAAGCAAAAGCATAGGAAACACCTTCCTTTCTGAAGCAACAGCCTCATCATCTTGACCTCTGTCCCTCTTAAGAACATTCTTCACTGGAACCAGAGCTCCACAGAGTCTTTCTTTTCCTCGGAGAGCCGCGGCTGGCAGGGACCTCCCTCCACCGCCCTCCAGCAAGCCACAGAGCATGCCCTCACGGGACAAGACGTGGTACGTTTTCTCCTTTTCTCCCCACTTCTCACATGCCTGGTGGTTGTGGTGCCATCTCCATGTTAGCTTGCCTGGGGGGATTCAACATTCCAATCGAAGGATGCTAACACCTAACACCTGCCCTCACGCCTAACACCTGCCCTCACGCCTAACACCTGCCCTCACGCCTAACACCTGCCCTCACGCCTAACACCTGCCCTCACGCCTAACACCTGCGCTCACGCCTAACACCTGCCCTCACGCCTAACACCTGCCCCAACGCCTAACACCTGCGCTTACGCCTAACACCTGCCCTCACGCCCACGCCTAACACCTGCCCTCACGCCCAACACCTGCGCTCACGCCCAACACCTGCCCTCACGCCCAACACCTGCCCTCACGCCCAACACCTGCGCTCACGCCTAACACCTGCCCTCACGCCCAACACCTGCGCTCACGCCCAATACCTGCCCCAACGCCTAACACCTGCCCTCACGCCTAACACCTGCCCTCACGCCTAACACCTGCCCTCACGCCTAACACCTGCTGTTGAGCATGATCTAACTTTCAAAGCCCTGGCCTCCTGTCTCCTTAGCTACTTAGCTACATGGCCTAGCAGATCATCAGCCATCAGTAATCCTGTGGCTAGATTCAGGGGAAAATGGCTTCTGTCCAGGCCCCACCCCCTGTCACTCATAAATACCCCTTGTGGGGGTGGAGTTTTAGTGTTTTCAGCTAAGAAAACCACATTTTCTCTTTTCTTGCCTCTCCGCTAGGACTGTGAGCATCTCATAGTCCACCCCTTAAACACTTTCTGGTAACACCTGTTCTTCCACCTGAGGGTCAGAAGCTGGAATCATTGCCTGCACAGCAGGACTATCTAGGTTCTTAAAACTTGGATCGCCCAGGCCAGGCGCGGTGGCTCACGCCTGTCATCCCAGCAGTTTGGGAGGTTGAGGCTGGTGGATCACTTGAGGCCAAGATGTTGAGACCAGCCTGACCAACATGGTGAAACCCCGTCTCTACTAAAAACACAAAAATTAGCCAGGCGTGGTGGTGGGCGCCTGTAATCCCAGCTACTTGGAGGGCTGAGGCAGGAGAATCCCTTGAACGGAGGCGGAGGTTGCGGTGAGCCGAGATGGTGCCACTGCCCTCCAGCCTGTGTAACAGAGCGAGACTCTGTCTCCAGAACAAAACAAAACAAAACCACACACACAGAAATAAAAAGAAATGATAAAAATAAATAAATAAAAATACCTGGATCACCCAGAAAGTTAGAGCGTCACAGAGGAGAGGGAGAATGAAGCCTCTTGTTATCCTGATCGCCTATGAAATGACATTTCTAACTCTTCTCTTGAAGCGCAGTTCTTACTGTCAAAACTGGTCATACAGGCTTTGGCCTGGAGTCCTGTCTTTGAAACAGTTGAAGTTAGTGTTTTCCCGTGTTCCCCAGCGTTATATAGTCTCATCTGCGCCAGCCTTCGCGCTCTGGGAATTCTGCCTGCTTCCGTCTGACTGACTCTCCCTGGGGTGGAGAGGCCTCTGCTGAAGCCCATCGACGTGGTTCCTCCGAGTGCACGTTACGCAAGTGGATTTGGATAGACAGGGAGATGCCCAGAACGTGGTTTTCCTCCCTCCCCACGGGAGCCACACCTCCTGCATACATAGTCTGGGTCCCAGATGTTTGGCCCTTGTCCTCTGCTCTCGGTGGGCTGCTTTTGGCATGCCCTGGGCTTGGAGCGGACCTGCAGGCTGACAGACCTCTGAGACTGCTAGGGCCAGCAAACGTACATGTTCTTGGGAAACTCCCTTTCCCCTTTTGGTGAGTTTCTACCACCTCAGTCTAATCGTTTTTTCTGAAGCTGTTTGTTTGAAGCTGAAGTCTTTTATGGTGTGGCATATTAGATACTTTGGGGTAAATGTGGTCTTAGGTGCTGGACAAGCATGGGTAGACAGAGGAAGCTGTTGGAATGTTGCATGATTTGGTCATCTGTGCCTAATTAAATGAGGTTGGAGGTGTGTACACCACAGCAATGCCTGGGATCTAAATCTTCAGATATTAATGTTTGAGGCTATGGAGCCGTTTCCCTGATTCCCGTACAAGAAAGCAGCCCACATGGATGGGCCAAGTGTGGCCAAGATGACGGAGCCAGAAATGCTGGCCTTAGAGTAGAGCCTCTGTGTGTGAGACGTAAGAAGGCCAGAGCCCCCCAACCAGAGCTGAGGAGGTGCCAGCGCAGCCACTGCCTTCCAGGGGCCTGGACAGAAAGCTTGCTCTTATGCTAGACTCAGAAGCACTGAAGAATGGAGGTTGAAACTTTAGAGGACTAGAAAGGGATCATTTGTGCTGTTGCAGCTATTGCTGATCGCTAGAGCCAAAGACCATTTTGCTGAGGCTTGGGTGAGAAAGGGATGTGAGGAGGTTGAAAATCCTGAAGAAGAGAAAAAACATGAGGGAGGCTGAGAAAACTTTTGACACTTTCTGATCGCCGGTAACTCCTTAGGCTGCACCTGAGTGATGGTGGTTTTTTTGGAGGCTGCACAGCTGGTCAGACCATCTCTAGATGTTCTTTCCACAGTGGTTCACAGGGCGTCGTTCTCCCTTCCTGGATTATCTTGACTATGGGTAGCTATTTTCAAGAGCTCTTTGCCTTTTTAATCCTGCTCCAGATCACTTATCCAAAATCTTTCCAAATCAATTATATTTTGCTGCTTTTCTTTAATTCCCTAAAAGCCATAGCTTCTAGATTTTCTATCAGCACACAGTCTCACCAGAAGTTGAACCAATACAGGTAGAGAAAGGAAGCCCCCCATTAACATCGGGTTAATGGTAGAGCCAATGTTTTTAACTGGTGGTATTTTTTTAAACTTACCAATATAAGTATTTTTAAAGGTTCTATTTTTCAAAGTCGTAACAATGATTGTTCTTGTTTTCTCTCATAGAATAGACTGCCATGGGATAAAGAGTGGTCCCTAGCTTCTATTTTTCCAAGTAAATAAGTAGAACATGTTCTTGGGATTATACCATTAAATGTTAATTTTCTTGAAGAAGAAAGATTGTTGTCTGCCAGGATTTTATGTTAGCACTCGGATTGAGGCAGAAAACGGAAGCACCAAGTTGAACACTGGGATGGCGCGGGTTGTGTTCCTGGAGCTTTGAAGTGGGCCTTCCTGCCTTTTGAGGGGAAAACTGACTGTTTTGAACATATCCTGGATTAGTTGGGTTGTTTTGTATTGAGGATCCCTAGAAGACAAGAGAGTCTTGGAAAGGGCTGCTGGCTTCGTCGTGAACGTTCGTCCCATCACCAGTGTGAGTCCGCGAGGAAGTTTTCCTCAAGTGGGGTTCAGTCTCTAATTTTCCTGTCTGTTATTAGTTTGTTCTGAGTTATTTTGGATTTTGTTCTTTAGCCAAATAAAGGCAATGTGGTTTTACCTCATGTTCCGTGTCCTGTGGTTTTTTTTGTTGTTGTTGTTTTTAGAGACGGAGTTTCACTCTCATTGCCCAGGCTGGAATGCAGTGGTGCGATCTTGGCTCACTGCAACCTTTGCCTCCCGGGTTCAAGTGATTCTCCTGCCTCAGCCTCCCGAGTAGCTGGGATTACAGACATGCGCCACCACGCCCGGCTAATTTTGTGTTTTTAGTAGAGACGGGGTTTCTCCATGTTGATTAGGCTGGTCTCGAATTCCTGACCTCAGGTGATCCACCCGCCTCGGCCTCCCAAAGTGCTGGGAATACAGGTGTGAGCCACCGCGCCTGGCCATACGCTGTGTTTTGACCTGTGTGGTGCATTTTATGGATTTGGGACTTTTACTTGGACTCTCGGTGCCTTTGCTTCCACACACTGATTCTCTCCTCAGAAATCAAGCTCCATGACCACAGCATCAGGAAATTCCTTTTGTAGCTAGTCACCGAAGACTCAAAAGCCATTGTCCCACAAAGTGAGGCTGACCCAGACCCCAGGGCCCCGTGGGGTTGGTGCTCTAGTAGCACATCTGTCAGGGAAAGGTCACCTTCCGTCTGTTCTCCAGAGGCTCCTGGCTTCTTCAAGACTTTGGGCTGGTACTATTTTGCCTCACCAAGTTC